GAAGGAAGGAAGGAGAAAGATGGGAGCAAGGAGGGAGGGAGGGAGGAAAGATGGAAGGAAGGAAGAATGGGAGGGAGGGAGGAAGGATGGAAGGAAGGAAGGAAGGATGGGAGGGAGGGAGGGAGGGAGGAAGGATGGAAGGAAGGAAGGAAGGAAGGATGGGAGGGAGGGAGGAAGGATGGAAGGAAGGAAGGAAGGATGGGAGGGAGGGAGGAAGGATGGAAGGAAGGGAGGGAGGAAGGGAGGGAGGAAGGAGAAAGATGGGAGCAAGGAGGGAGGGAGGGAGGATGAATGGAAGGGAGGGAGGAAGGAAGGAAGGAAGGAAGGACTTCTTCCAAAAAAATGTTGACATGAATTTCAGAGAAATCCATGGGAAAGCATGCCCCTCCCATCCCTGAAGGAGAAGGAGGAGGAGAAGCAGAAGCAGATGGTTTTCCATGAGAAAAATCACCCAAGTCATTGTTTAATTGGATAATTGGCTGAAAGCTGGGTATCTTTGTTATGAGAAAAGGTTAACCACCCAGCTTCTTTGAAGCTCACAGAGTTCAGAGGTCAAAGCACCTCATTCCTTAAATTGCATCTTCGGTGCTTCTGTTCCATGCCAATCAGCTGAACTCGGCAGGGTAGATGCCCACTCAGTGAATTCATGCCTGCCCACTGATCTCCTTAGCTGCGAGACTCTGAACTGTATTTCTGCAGTAATGATGTAAGACATTTGTCTTCCTCCTACGGCAACTTTGACAACTGCCTGTGGCTTTTCCCTTCAGGGAGCTGTCACTTGGTAATTAAGGAGCCCAAGGTGACTTTTCTCTTCACTGCACCCAAGTATCAGAAGAATTGCAAAAGCTAAGAGCTTCTTTTATCCCTTGCATCAATTGCTTTAGGATTCAGGGACTCGATAGACGGGTCAAAATAGGAATCAGTGTGATTGTGTATTTGGATATGGGTCTGTTTCTACATGCATTGCACAGAGCACAGACGAAGACACCTTCATTGTTGGCAGAACTAGCAGAAGAGGGTTGAGATGTGCCCGCTTTGAAGGGAGAATATCTCCATAATTCCTCCTCTGGGTCTAAATTGTAGAAAGCGGATTGGTAGAGAACATCACGAGAAGAATTCATTGGGTCTCATTCTCAAGCTCCAGAGATGTAGGACTTCTAATGGCTTGAGGACTTCATTTCAAAAGCAGAGTCTCTTTGGGTGGGCTTCTGGAGAGTTTAGGGATGAACCAGGAGCTTCAGTTTGAAAAGTCATTAAAAGAGAAAGTCACTGAATGAGGACTACCTACAGCGTTCTCGTAAACATCTTCCTCTATCCCTGTGCTTGCCTTCCCTCAGAGATCCATCTTCCTCACCTCCTTGAAAACGTTCAGAAGGTCATAAACGTCTTCACTGTTTTCATTGAATATATTACTGACTATCTCCAACCTTCTTCTCATGAGTTGAATGTATCAACCAAGTGCTTTTAAGTTAATGTCCAATATATGTGAGTTTAGACTTGAAAATAGATACGAAGTCAGAAGGTATCTCATAAGCTTCTTGGAACGCATGAATGTTACAATACCTCAGTTCGGTTGTCTGTCCCTGTTGCATGACCTCTACCTAACTCTCCCACTCTACATAATAGATTTCTTATATTCTTTCATAAACACCTAACAATAAAATGGAAATACCAAGAAAACTTGGCTGTTCTCCCAGACCTTGCAAGAGGCTGATAGTTGAGTCCCAGTAGGGTATTTTGATTGTTATATACATATTGCCTTCTGGAGACCTATGATTCATCTCTTTATTTTTAAAGGTTTCTACTTTTCTCCCCCGCCCCCTATTCTAAGCCACCAAGAGTCATACAGAGCTCAAAATTCAGTAACTATTGTCCAAATGAATAAATAACCCATCTCGATTGTTTACAGGGTAGAACCGGCCCTGACCCGGATTAAAGAGGACCGCAAACGGATTGTCCTACCAGCTATAGACAACATCAAGTACAATACTTTTGAAGTGCAACAGTATGCCAACGCTGCCCACGGCTACAATTGGGGTCTTTGGTGCATGTACATCATTCCTCCACAGGACTGGCTGGACAGAGGAGATGAGTCTGCACCTATCAGGTGATTCTCTGCAAAAAGGATACTTTGATGGCCATTTCTGGGTGATTCTCAAAGCCGGGTGCTGTGAGAGATGATGATGGTGGGTCATGAAAATGAAGTGGCCCTCGGGGTCATCCATCCTTCTCAGCTTGACTGTTGGTTGGCCTTAAACCAAGTGGCCCTGTTGGGTTCAGCCACCATTCTCAGCTTGACTATTGGTTGGCCTTAAATCAAATGTCCTGTTGGGTTCAGCCACCATTCTCAGCTTGACTGTTGGTTGGCCTTAAACCAAGTGGCCCTGTTGGGTTCAGCCACCATTCTCAGCTTGACTATTGGTTGGCCTTAAATCAAATGTCCTGTTGGGTTCAGCCACCATTCTCAGCTTGACTATTGGTTAGCCTTAAATCAAGTGTCCCTGTTGGGTTCAGCCATCATTCTGAGCTTGTTTATTGGTTGGCCTTAAACCAAGTGACCTTGATGGTTTCCACCATCATTCCGAGCTTGACTGTTGATTGGCCTTAAACCAAGTGGCCCTGTTGGGTTCAGCTACCATTCTCAGCTTGACTTTTGATTACCCACGGAAGCCTTTCTCATTTGGAAGAGAGAGAAAGCCAGCAATGGGTGGAGAGATGATGCCATATGGGTGGGGCTAATTCACATGGATGTGGCTTGGGTTATCCATCCTTTTCCCCTTTGAGGGGAATTTTGCTTTGTTTCCCATTAATGTGTGAAACCTATTTTAGGCCTCCCCTTAGAGCAGAGGGTCTCCAAACGTGGCAACTTTAAGACTTGTGGACTTCAACTCCCAGAATTCCTCAAGCAGCCATGCTCAAGATTTCTGGGAGTTGAAGTCCACAAGTCTTAAAATTGCCAAGCTTGGAGACCCCCTGCCCTAGAGATTGGTTCATTGTCTTTCTCCAACTATTAAACAACTCTATTGTTGATTTTTCTCCTCTTTTAACCATTCAAATTTAGTGGTGGGGCGTAAAAAAGTCACGGAAGGCCACCCATAACCTTTAAACTAGAGGGGAGGGAAAATCATTTCATAGGAAACTGACAGTTTTTCCATGCACTTGCTTTGAGGTGCTCTCATAACAGAATAACAGAGTTGGAAGGGACCTTGGAGGTCTTCTAGTCCAACCCCCTACTCAAGCAGGAAACCCTATATCATTCCAGACAAATGGTTGCCCAATCTCTTCTTGAAGACGTCCAGTGTTGGAGCACCCACAACTTCTGGAGGCAAGCTGTCCCATTGATTAATTGTTCTCACTCTCAGGAAATTCCTCCTTAGTTCCAGTTCTAGGTTGCTTCTCTCCTTGATTAGCTTCCATCCATTGCATCATCTCCCAAAGGCCATCCGAGTGATAGATGCAGGACGGGACCCTGTTGTAACTCTCTGTCTCCTCTCAGAATTAATTTTTCTTTCCCCTTTCCTGTGGCTTTATCTCTGTTAAGGAATACGAAGCCAACTTATTCTAGATTTTGGAAGGCATCGTTTGCAGCGGGGGTTGGAAACCAAGCCAAAGGTCCATTTTGAGCCCTTGATAAGCTCCTCAATTTTTCTCTCCCGCTCTATCTAGGGCAGGTATTCCATCCGTAACAAGCCTGCCTTCTCAAAGCCGCCAGCTCAACCTGGCAAATCTTCCTAAATGATGCAAATATACCCTTACTTGTCCCTGTCCTCTTATCGCTGCTAAACAGAGGGACAGGAACGCCATTCGGTGAACTTTACTTACCAATGAGCAGGCCGTGGTCCTTATCAACCACCTTCCCGACACTTTCTGAGCCTCAGTATGTAGGCAAGGAATAGCTCGCGAAAATCTTAATGTTCCTTGATAAACCTTAGCCTGCTTTACCTCTTTTCCCTTTTTCATAGTGCAGGCTGTTATTGTGTTGTCCAGATTTGCATCCTCTCTCTTTGTGTTACCGATGCCAGCAATTTGGAGGGGGGGGGGAGAGGTTGGGTGGCGTTGTGGGGGAGACTGTGCTACTTTTAGTCGAGATCCCTCTCTCCACCCTTCAGAGCAGTGGTTCTCAACCTTTTTAATGCCGCGACCCCCAACCGGTCGTAAGTCGAGGACTAAACCGGTCATAAGTCGAGGACTAAACCGGTCGTAAGTCGAGGACTAAACCGGTCGTAAGTCGAGGACTACCCAAACGGTCGTAAGTCGAGGACTTTCCCTGCCCGGGAGCGCCGCGCATGTGTGGTTCCGCCCCCTGCGCCGGCCGAGGCGTAGCTGGCAAGCGGCAGAGACGGAGCAGGCCGACCACCAGCTGGCCCAGCCCAAGGGAGGTAAGGCACCCGCTGGAAAAGGGGAAAAAAAATGGCGGACAGCCTTGCTTGGCGACCCCCGTGAAATGGTCGATTGACCCCAAATGGGGTCCCGACCCATAGGTTGAGAACCGCTGCTTCAGAGGAATGTCAAGAGGGGAGAGCTGTGTTCCTATTTTTGGGGCGAGCTAAGCCCATTTGCATTTCCCCAGTCGACGGCTCAGTCGGAGAGCAGTTAGCGACCAGCGTGCGTCTGAATTTTGTGACACATGGAAAACGATGTATGTTAAGAGAGGATGTGCCCCCTGCTATAGACCTCAGAGAGAATGCGTGCAAATGTTCATGCTTTTTTTTAAAAGAATCAGAGATGTGTGGAAATGGGACAAATGGCATTTGCGGTGAGAGGTGATGGTGGGGAGCTATCCAACAGGAACTGATCTAGTCAAGGCAGAGCGGGCCAGGTTGTTCACCAAAGCACCAGAGGGCAGGACGAGAAACAATGGTTGGAAACCTATCAAAGAGAGAAGCAACCTGGAATTAAGGAGAAACTTCTTGAGAGGGAGGACAATTAACCGGTGGAACAGCTTGCCTCCAGAAATCGTGGGCTCTCCATCAATGGAGATTTTTAAGAAGAGGCTAGACAGTCACTTGTCTGAGATGGTATAGGTTCTCCTGCTCGACTGGGGGGCTGGACTAGAAGACCTCCAAGGTCCCTTCCAGCTCTCTTCTATTTTTTTGTAGATTTTATATTTGGATCCCTAATGTATAATTAGAACTGCACACTTGTCACGCAAGAACTTGACTTCCATCTTGGCCTCCTAATGGATTCCTCCATTGAGTTTTGTTATTGAGTCTCAAGAACCACTGGTCAATTATTGTACATAGCCTCGAGAAAGGGGTGAGAGAGGTAAAACAGTTGCCCAGTTCTGAGAAAGAGAAAGTTTGAAGAGGAGACTCAGAACTTGACTTTGCTGTCCTTAAAATGAAATCTTGGACAAGCTTTCATGATCCAGTTGACAGACCCTCCCTCCAATCACAAAGTAGCATCCTTGCGTCGGTTTTTTGACCCAAAGACTCTCTCCAGGTAGTCCTTGACCAGGGGTCTTCACACTTGGCAACTTTAAGACTTGTGGGCTCCAACTCCCAGAATTCTGGAGTTGAAGTCCACAAGTCTTAAAGTTGCCAAGTGTGAAGACCCCTGTCCTTGACTTATGAGCTTTTTTGTCCCAGTGATTGTGAATCACTGCAGTTGTTGTTAAGCCAATCTGGATTCCGCAATTGACTTTGCTTGTTGGAAGCTAGCTGGGAAGGTTGCAAATGGCAATCACACAACCCCGGGACACCGCAATTGGGATTGTAAATACATGCCGGTTGCTAAGCGCCCGAATTCTGATTACATGATTCTGGGGATGCTGCAAATGAATGGGTCCTGAGTCACTTCTTTTCAGTGCCGTTGTAACACTGGTGACTAAATGCTGGTAAGCTGAGGAGGGTGGTAACTTGAGGGTTACCTGTATCTCCTTATTCCAAGCAACATTTGTCAGCCATTGTTTCCTATGCACGAGGCAAACAAAACCCTGTCATAGAGCTGTCTGCAAGCCTTTCATGTTAGGTGTATTTGGATGTGTGATTTAGCAACATATGCTCGCTGTGAACAGCATCCTCGTTCTTCCCCATTCCAAACTCCCCCACTTCAAGTCGAGCAGATGGGTTTGCATTCCTTTCATTCTGATTGAGATCCTAGTTTCTCCTCCTCCTCCTCCTCCTCCTCCTCCTCCTCCTTTCCCTCTTTTTCTCTCTCTCTCTTCTCTCTGTGTCTCTATCACTGTGTCTGTCTCTTTCTCTGTGTGTCTGTCTCTGTGTCTGTCTCTCTGCCTGTGTCTGCCTCTCTGTCTGTGTCTGTGTCTGTGTCTGTCTTTCTCTCTCTCTCTGTCTCTCTCTGTCCCTCTCTCCCTCTCTCTGTCTCTGTCTCTCTCTCTCTGTCTGTCTCTCTCTGTCCCTCTCTCTCTCCCTCCCTCTCTCTCTCTGTCTCTGTCTCTCTCTGTCCCTCTCTCCCTCTCTCTCTGTCTCTGTCTCTGTCTCTCTCCCCCTCTCTCTCTCTCTGTCCCTCTCTCCCTCTCTCTGTCTCTGTCTCTCTCTGTCTCTCCCCCCCTCTCTCTCTGTCCCTCTCTCCCTCTCTCTCTCTCTCTCTCCCTCTCTCT